TGAAGCATGGTGGTGGCAGCATCATGCTGTGGGGGTGTTTTTCAGCTGCAGGGACAGGACTGGTTGCAATCGAGAGAAAGATGAATGCGGCCAAGTACAGGGATATCCTGGACGAAAACCTTTTCCAGAGTGCTCTGGACCTCAGACTGGGCCAAAGGTTCACCTTCCAACAAGACAATGACCCTAAGCACACCGCTAAAAAAACGAAGGAGTGGCTTCACAACAACTCCGTGGCTGTTTTTTTTAATGGCCCAGCCAGAGCCCTGACTTAAACCCAATTGAGCATCTCTGGAGAGACCTAAAAAAAATGGCTGTCCACCAACGTTTACCACCCAATCTGACAGAACAGGAGAGGATCTGCAAGGAGGAATGGCAGAGGATACCCAAATCCAGATGTGAAAAACTTGTTTACCATCTTCAGTTTTCTTCCAAGAACGTGCAATATCACAATATCCCTCATTTAATGAATTTCCTCCCAAGGCATATAAACACACTGACTGTGTGATGTCTTTTGGACCATACAGGTGTAACATGTAGTGAAAGAGAACTCAATTTGGTACTCACAGAGGACTGTACCTGGATCCTTAACATTACCTCCATAATACCTCCTCCATCCTTACCCCCTTCAATGAAAGCACCAAGAGAATGTTCTGACCAGCTGAATTACTGTCTCCACAAGAGTGTCTTCCCCCAAGATGTAAGACTCCCTTGACCTCTGCCATTGAGAGGCTGGACAACGTTTCAGAAATCATCCCTCACCATCTGCTTTGTTGTTGACTTCAGTAGCCAGCATGACACTTTCTCGAGGATTGTTTAACAAACGGCAATAATTCCAAAGAGTTGCTAAAACTGCATCAAATTTCCAAAAACCTATCTATTCACAACACCACCATGACCCTCAGGAATCCTAGTCATATTGATGCCATAGTGTCATCACACCAATATTGTTGTATTAGTGTTGTAATATGTCTCCCAATGTACTGTGTACTGTGTACACTATCTATATTGTGTCTCATAGCTTGTCCATAGTCACTGTTACAGTATGTGTGCATTAGGTATATTGTACTTGTTCAGCAATATCATATGTATACTGTGGTTACAGTCTTAAAATGTAAAATAGTTTTATGTGCAATTGACACTAGGATCTGTAAAAGAAAAGCACATTTTGTCTCTCATGTACTATAAATACATGTTTGACAATACATGACAATGGCACGAAATTATGTACTGACTTGACAGCACGTTTGGACAAACAAATGGAAGAAGGAAGTGTTACTGTCAATCACTCTGAGATACTCACGATCCATAACAAGCCTCAGTTCTAAAATGCACAGTTCTCAGCATTAGAACAGACTTAAAGCTACACTGTGTGATTTTTACCCCCATCTAGTGGTGAAAAGGTATATGACCATCCAGTGAACAGTTTCTGTTCCTCTCAATTCCGATTTCGTTTTAACTCCTACGGTGGCCAATGTAGTCCAAGATTAACATGGCTTCCAGTTCGACCTCGTCTATGAGTGTTCCTTCAAGTGATGAGGTTATTTTAGAAAACTATTATAATTTGCAGTAATTTAATTTGTCAGGTAACAGGTTATGACATCTACTGTATGTAAAATGAATAATAGTTTTATGTTTTCGTTATTTTTTTTTTTTTTACCATTTCATTGCTAACATCAGTTATCAGGTTCCCAGACGAACGCAAGTTAAAGCATCTAGCTGTGGCACACACTCTTAGCATGGTGAGGGGGTCCGGATACAGGCCTGCCCAGAGACAGAACGTGCTGTGTAAGGAGCGCAACAGAAGGACTGCCCACCTCAATGCCCACACAAAAACACACAAACTCTGAAACACCCGAAATCTCCTGCCAAAACAATACGCCACCCTGCCATCAAGATATTAATAGACTGCAGGGTCACGTCAAATCATGGACTGTGAAAATTATCAGCATGCACCTTGGCCATTACAGGGCGTTCCTTAATACCCCAAGGCTTATGCACGGAAGGAAGAAGGAAGAGGAGAAATGAAAGAATAGAAAGAAGTGAAGAATATGAAGGATGTCTGTATTTTTTTGTTTTTTTGTTTGTTTTTTACTGATTCTAGCCAACTGGAAGATTAGTCAGCACTTACAAGTGGTGTGTGTGTGTGTGTGTGTAAAAGCGTGACTGGCAGTGGAGTTTAATATAAGTGTGAAAATCTGAGCCCATCTGTGAAGAATCCAGACCTCTTAAAGTGAAACAGAAATATGAGGAACTTTTTTACTCAATACAAGAGATGGTCAGCAAGAAACGATAAATGTGATCAGGAAGCATTTACATTACCGTTCATATTTTATCAGTTTTATGCATTCCCAGGGAATCAAACTCAATGTTAGCAATGCTAGTACCATGCTCTACTGTCCGAACTAAAGGAACATACACAGCAAGATTTAAGAGTATTTGAACACTTAATCTTAGTAAAGTAACTTTTATCAGTGCTACAGAATCTATCGTTATTCTGTATGTTGTACGACATCACTAGCGTAAGGCAAAGTTTACATTTTAGGCTATATAATTTTCATACTGAAGTGTAGGCTATAGTCATAGTAAGGTGTCATAGTGTGAAAAATATTTAGTTCATACAATAATACGTCTTAAATGAATAAGATTACAGGACAGATGTGAAAGTGAAGGTGAAAGTCTCGCTAAGAAACAGCTAACTAATGCTGTGTTCCAGGCAACCTGTAACCCGTGTTTTTCCAACCTTATACCTGTGAAAGTGCACTGGAACACAGCACACCATGATATTTATTTATTTATTTATAAACATTTATTAAGAGGATCAGCCCCATGAGATGAAACATCTCGTTTTCATGGGGGTCCTCAGTAATATTTCCAAACAATAACGAAAAGTAAAACAACAGAGTAGATACAATATGCAAGATACAAGAAAAACCTCAATGCACACACACACACACACACACACAAGCTCCCACTATCCCCCTCTTCACAGATAGAATAAAGTAAATCACAGTGGTTCCCAAACTGTGACCACTAAACAATAAATCTTAAACACAGCATGATGGTGTTCTAAAAGTCAAGCATCTTAAGAGTAGTGTTAAGTGCGACACACAATAAACCCAAAATATAACTGACACAGTTAACATCACTAGCTATGTATATTTCTACATATAAACACATTCACACACCCAAAGATAACATGACACATATTAATGTTAAATCCAAAGTACTAGAAACATAGACAAGTATTCTGAAGATGTGATAACAAAGCAGTTCAGAACAGAGGAAACGATGTAAGCGAGTGGACAGATGCAGGAAGGCTGTTCCAATCACGAGGGGCTTTAACACAGAAAGCAGTAAAGAAGATCTGTTCGTTGTGACGAAGATTATATTGTGAACTAAAAGGCACTAAATATTGCGATAAATAATTTGGGTATTGAAAGTAAATGCATTTAAATATAAGTTGAAACCAATGATATTGTCTTCTGGCTGAAGGTGCAAGCCAAACCAGCTGGTCATACATCACACAATGATGTGTCCTATAGGGGCAGCGAAGGACGAATCGGCACAGGCTGTTATATACCAAATCGAGAGAGTGTAGACAAGAGGCAGTAGTATTAGCATATATAATATCTGCATAGTCCAGTATAGGTAGCAGCAACTGGGAGACTATTCTTCTCCTAACCTGAAAATTAAAGCAGTCTATCGATTGATATATATAATTAGCCAAGCAACAATAAAACTTCCAACATACACAAATAGGCTTAATTAACGTTACCTGTCGAGAAGAAAGCTAGTAACGTCGGCGTCCTTTTTAAAATCGTTGCTCGTCATGAGCTCTTTCCATCTTGGAAAGGCCACTCCAATATTTAACTTTGTCTTGTTGATTTGCCTGTTGCGTTGCTGTCTTAATTCTCTTTTCGTTTCCTTGGCGACTCTGATACGTATCTTCGAGAATAAGAGTGATCCTCCATCAGCAACATACTTTCAATAAGGCTTTCAGGTTTTTATATACCCGTATTTTCCGCTCTTTAAGGCGCACCGGATTATAAGGCGCACCTTCAATGAATGACCAATTTTAGAACATTTTTCATATAAGGCGCTAAAATACTGCAGTCAAACGTTTGACTGGGTTTGCGTTATGCATCCACAAGATGTGCTAAAGGGAATGTAGCGAGTGCGCGGCGCCAGAGGTGAGGCGTTTATTAGTGTGAGTGCGCTGGGGCGGGCTCGTAACTGTGGGACAGTGTGTCTATTCGTGTGTCTGTTAAGAGTGAGCGCTCGTGAGCGGGAGGCACACATAGCCTGATTTATTACACATAAATTGATCCACATATAAGGCGCACTGTCGTTTTTTGAGAAGATTAAAGGCTTTTTAAGTGCGCCTTATAGTGCGGAAAATACGGTATCAGTCTCAAGCAATCCCCCTCTTCACATTCGACACGCTGTCACGCGAAAGGCGAAGCTTGAATTAACGGGTATGTCCCTCTTTGGCTAATGTACTTTCAAGATGGAGGGGCAACATGGCGACCGACATTAGAACCCCTTACCCGTATGTATTTTCAATGGCACATTATACACTCACGAGAACTCATTATTACTTGAACAAAGTAAATATACTTTAATGAACATATATGAAGAGTTCAGATGCAAAAGCCTCTAAGTGCCATTTGAAATTTTCTTCTAGAACGATTATTTTAATCAAGCTTGTATATTAAATTTCAGTAATTTCACTTTAATAGCAATGAAGATTATCTATTAATTGTCATTTAAGTGAAATTACTGAACTTATATATACAAGCTTGATAAAAATGATCATTCCAGAAGAAAATTTCAAATGGCACTTGGAGGCTTTTGCATCCGAACTCTTCATATATTTTTGAAAGAACTAAGTGTTTTTAGCTAAGAATAAACTAAAATAGTTACACAGTGTAGCTTTAAGAAAATGATAATGAATCTGATGCTGATGAAAAATGCCCTTAATGAAATTTCAATAAACTTGCCTTCCTCACGATGGGACTTCCATCATTAATGAGTTGTGCTAGCATCATGGCAACATTATGATCAATGGTGGTAGAATGATCTGTTCTCTCAGCAGAATTCCCCACAAACGTACCCAACGCAAACACAGCTGCACACCGCACCTGCAAAGGAGACAACAGAAAACATTCATGAACCACACAACAGCCATGGTTAGGGTTATGGTACTTATAATGTGGTACTTCTATAGTAACAAGGTAGAACTTGTTTTGGAGGATATTTAAAGATGCACATTTTGGACAGGAGTAGACCTGTGCTGAAAATAACAGAAAAATAGAGAAACCAAGAAATCTATGTAATCTATGTTTGCAATGCATTACAGCAGATTAATGGTCCCAGTTAAGGATCTGAATTTGCAGGGCACTGTAAAGATAAACTATACATTTTAGGGGTGCAACGATACCCTCATGTCACGTTTCAACACATATCACGGAACTCATAATACGATATTATTGTGATACTTCAAGACATACTGTATCATACAAGGTTAACAGAAAATGTACTGTTGATTAAAATGCTAAATTTGGTATTACATTGGGTGTTTAAATGAACAGGCCAGGACTTGGTGCTGATAACCCAATGCACAGGACAATAGTGACAGCAGAATAAAAATACTCAAGATTCTGAAGATGAAAATACAGAATTATTTTAGACTAATATGCTTGCACTCTGTCACTGACTAAATATGTTTAAAATAACGCAGGTCACTTTTTACTGGTAACATAAGACATTTGGCATTATCAGGACTTACAAATATTCCCCCATTGCATTATTATACATTATATTCAACATTACAAATAGTAGTTTAATGTAGTATTGACACTAAAAATCTGAAAACTTTTCTCACACAGAAATTTTCATTTTGGGTGAACTATACACAATAAATATTGTCACTATCCACGACATATATTGATACATTTTTGTATTGCCATATACACTTACGTAAAGGATTATTAGGAACACCAGTACAATTTCTCATTAATTTAATTATCTAATCAACTAATCACATGGCAGTTGCATCAATGCATTTAGGGCTGTGGTCCTGGTCAAAACAATCTCCTGAACTCCAATCTGAATGTCAGAATGGGAAAGAAAGGTGATTTAAGCCATTTTGAGCGTGGCATGGTTGTTGGTGCCAGACGGGCCGGCCTGAGTAATTCACAATCTGCTCAGTTACTGGGATTTTCACGCACAACCATCTCTAGGGTTTACAAAGAATAGTGTGAAAAGGGAATAAACATCCAGTATGTGGTAGTCCTGCTGTGAGCGAAAATGCCTTGTTGATACTAGAGGTCAGAGGAGAATGGGCCGACTGATTCAAGCTGATAGAAGATAGAACATCATACTGTACCTGTTACCACTGTGCAAGCAGTTCTAAAGGTGAAAGGGGGTCAAACACAGTATCAGTATGGTGTTCCTAATAATCCTTTGGGTGAGTGTACTGTGGCATGATATTTTGTTACACCCCTAATATATTTACTAGAAAATCTACAACTAGATTGTCTAATAGTAGTAAAATATTAGTCTGGCCAACTTTCAGAACCTCTGGTATGGGATCAGACAGGAGACTGTAGAGCTTCTCATGGGCACTATCTCGAACTCCACACCAGCGTGCAGAATCAAAGTTCTGCCAGATTCTGCCCAGACAGATTGCCACCCACTGCCTCAGGAGAGGGTGAGGGTCGTTGAGCTGCTCCAGACAGATTGCAATCAGGTTACCCTGCAGACATGCCTCCTGATGGACAATGGTCAATGGTCAATGAATCATCAGGGACAAAAAAATAAAAATAAATAAATAAATAAACAAATAAATTAGTGCTGTCAAACGAATATTTAATCGTGATTAATCACATTAATGTCATAGTTAACTCGCGATTAATCGCACATTTTTATCTATTCTAAATGTCTTTTGATTTCTTTTTGTTACATTATTTTTTTTCTCATTTTAATGCTCTTATCAACATGGAAAAGTGGATTGGCTTGTTTAGTGCAAATGTTTTTTTTTTAATTATTATTATTGAAAATAACATTGGATACATTGTGTGAGAGATTAATTGTATACGTTAGTGTGAAATTGAGCACCATGCTCAATTTCACACTAACGTATACAAATAATCTCTCACACAATGTAACACTGTCTATCAATAAAAGGGTGAAAGAAATACTGACGAGGTCCTGATATTGACGAGGGGGCGGATAATTCGCATCATCTCTGTGTGTGTGTGTTAGCTTGGCCATCATCAAGTGGTGTTTCAGACTGGACGTGTTGCGATGATTTTAGCTCAGTTCACAACGACAAAACAAACAGATCACTTGGTCTTGTCAATGGGACAATTTGGCAACTTTTTAAAAGTAAACTTTCCATTCAGATTTTTAGGGCATCCATTTCGGCGTCTCGCGCTCGTCATCCACTCAAAACGTAACATTACTATTTGGCCGGCTCGCAAGCCGAAACGAGTGTGTGCGGCACAAAACGTCCTCACGCTGCGCTCTGAAACACATTCATTTCGACGTTTTGTTGTTTCTTCGACCAAAGTGCAAGCGGATCAAGACCGTAAACAAAACAACAGGCACGCCGCAAACACACGTTTCGGCTTGTGAGCCGGCTTTGAGTGGATGACGAGCGCGAGACGCCAAAATTGACCAGGATGCATACCGCGTCCTGTTGCAAAAGCATGTGAAAAAAAGACAAAGTTTGCTAGGACAAAAAGACCGTTAATCGCGAGATAAAAAAAATAACGCCGTTAAAATGGGTTTGTGTTAATGCCGTTAATAACGCGTTAAACTGACAGCCCTAAAATAAATTTAAAACAAATATTACACTGTATAATTCTGAGAGTAAATTATTGGGTATAATTCCATTAAAGTTTGGAAACATTAAAAAATCTAAATAATATATAAAATAAAATATATATAATATAAAAAAAATAAAAAAATGCTCTTAGATAGATAGATAGATAGATAGATGATAGATACCTGTCCTGTGTTGTAGTTGTTGACAATGACAGCAAGTATAAAGACAGCCATAGTTCGATGCTCAGCCTGAATAATACGGCACAGACGATAAAGTTAACAAAACAGATATTGTTTTGAACAAAGTGGAAAATGATTCAGTACCATCTGAATGATACTTACGGGCATGTACGGGTCAGCCAGCACCGACAAGAAGTACTTGTGCCCATTGTCTTTTACAAGATCAGCTTGGCATGACTACAGAAAAAAGAAAGAGGGAGAGAAAAGCAGGAGGGAGAGTAGGCGAGTGTAAAAGAGAAGGAATTGAAGGCGTGACAAAAATGAAACAAACACCATACTGACAGCTGACAACTGTTTCTACCAATTTTGCTGCCTGATAAAAAAAAAATTAAAAAATTCTTACATCTGAGTTTTCTCTGAATAAAACACTTTATTGAACTGAAATTGAACTGTGAAAAAAATTGAATTGCAGCACGTGATACACTTCACTGATAAACCAATTACATAATAACAGACCTTGGAATGACCAGAAAGAGAGAGACAAGCTATTTGTCCCATCTAAAACAGAATGTGTGTTGGAGGATAGTGTGGGCAAGGCGGAAAGTGCAAGTTTTACTATCGCCTGCTTGTGCTCCGTTTCATCTGGTAAGTTTGTTAAGTGCCATGTGCTTCGGTGAACTGACCGATGACACATACTGATCACTCTATACAATATAAACAGTTCTGTATATAGCCTACTGTATCTGAACAGTAAAGGTTTAGGGTCAGTAAGATTTTAGTTTGCAGCATCGTTTGCATGCAACTATGGCAGACATTTAAAAACATACAGTATGGTACCACTGCAAAACCGCCTGTCCCTGTAGACTGATGCAGGGATGACGCCAAAATCCAGAATAATAATGCGCCACTAGTTCTGTCGTTTCCTATCGGTTTTTATTATCGGGTTTTCAATTTATCAGTAAAATACATTCTGCTTTTCTTTTTTCTTTTAAATAGCCTGATTAGCAGCTTTGGAGTGTGCTTTGCTGCAGTCTCTGTGAGGGATGTGCATGAATGATCATCTATCTCGGCAGGTGTCTTAAACACTGCTGTCAGAGACAGATGGCAAACCGCTTTCACTTCCACTGCCCTTCCAGTGCCACACTCCAAAATACATTTACAAAAATACATTCTGAATATTATTAAAGTTATATAACAATAATTTAGATTAAAAATCTTTTGAAATAACATTAATCCTTCACTACACCATTAATGTGCATTAAAAAAAGAAAATCATGATACTTAAGAAAAAAACATTTATTTATTATTATTATATTTTTTTAAATCAGTGTAGCACTTATAAAACAGTAAAATCAGAAAAATATATTTACTTTCTAATGAACAATTCATCACATCATGTTATTCCAAAGAAAAGTTGTAGTTACTTATCCTTCCTCTGAAATGTCCAACTGACTAAATGTTAACCAATAGCCAAATAGCTACTTGGATATCAAGCAAATTCATGTTTGGTTTGGCTGCATTTTTGTAAGGGATGCTCACTTTTCAATTTCCAAGAGAGTAATTATGAAAGTCAAATGGGATTCTAATGGCAATTTACGCTGACTTTAATTCTGATTTATTAATAGAGTTTGTTAGATGAGTTTTTCCACAAACGAAAACAAGGAACAAACTTGAATGTGTCTGATGTTTCTGCTGTACAAATACATTCAAATGTACAAATGGGATACATTTCGGAGATCTTAAAGAAGAGCATTTTCAATTGTTTCTATTCATTTTTGGCCTTTTTCTGGTGAACAATGACTTAATGCTGAGCTGACATGAGTTAAACTAGGACTGTCTAAACCGCGAGTGTCTGATCATAATCTAAATTATATTGATCAATCAGTAATGCAAATAAAACACATTGATTGAACGATCTATCAACTCTTAGATAAAAATAAATAAATCAATAAATAAATGTTTTTTTTTTGTTTTTGAAAAATGCAAGAGATACACATCAATAACACTGTATACGCCAATAAACAGAGAACTCCTTCATAAAATAGCATTATTGAATATGGTCTGAAATAGAATTTTGCTAATGGAAACTGTTCTGTGAAAATTTTCTGTGGAAACATTTAAACATTCAGTTGTTTGTACAACAATTAAGTTTACAAATTCATTTTTTTTTCCTTTTTCTTAATCAAATTTTGTCATTAAAATAAACAAGAACATGATTCTAACTTTACATATTTAAACTTTTAAAATATGCTAGTTATACCATTTTATTACATATGCAGATATTCGCATATATCAAAATGTGATTTAAATGTTTATTTTACAATATTCAATAACGTTTGGTAACTGTCAGAGCCTTTATTTCCAATAACCCATCTGAGAATTATTCTATTTCATTTTAAATAAAAATGAATAGATCTACTGTGAAACATGCAATATTATGTTTACCACAATTTTTTATTTATTTATTTTTAATCAGATTGGAGTATCACGTTAGATACAGTATTTTCAATTATAAAAGGTTTGTAGCTGGTCATTAGTATCTGAATGTTAATTGTTTAGAAAATGTACACTGTGTGGAATTTTGGTTAAATCAATTGCTGAATTGCAAGGGATGAAGAGTTTTACATACACTATCTACAGCTAAGATCTTTGCCCAGATGAAGACCAAAAGAGGCCTGAGCTCTCTCGCTGAACTCTGCAACAGTTTCAAGACGTATGGAAAAATCCCCACTGAAAGTGCCTGCAGAGAGAAATATAGACAGAGTGTGTGTGTATGAGAGAGAGAGAGAGAGAGAGAGAGAGAGAGAGAGAGAGAGAGAGAGAGAGAGAGAGAGAGAGAGAGAGAGAGAGAGAGAGAGAGAGAGAGAGATTAGAGGATGACGTGATTCAAGGTCATTCTTTGAAAAACTTGATTGATTTATTTAGATTTCTTTCTTTCAGTTATCTTTTATTCAGAATATCATTGTTTGATTGTGTATGTGAATTCCAGAAAACCCTGGCCGCTACATAACTATATTAACATCCAAATTCTACATAAGGCAGGGATGGGTAGCTTCAGTCCTGGACGGCCACTATCCGGCAGAGTTGTGCTCCAACCCTGATAAAAACTCCCCTGGCTGTAGCTTTCTAGTAATCCTAAAGACATTGATTATCTTGTTTAGGTGTGTTTGATTAGGGTTGCAGGTGTATGTAAATTGACTGACATATGTATTGTCTAAAGGTTTCTTAAATACAGTTACATAAGTAGTAGTTTAGTTTATGTAAGCTTTAAAGTAAAATAAAGATACAAATAAATGTTAGAGGTGTGTTATCTGCCATCTCACCAAACTGACGGCCCAAGGACCCAGGTCCAGAAATCTCCCCAGCAAATCTAGTGCTCTCAGTCTGTGTACCTGACTCAGAAGGACCTAAGAGAAACCAGATTGGAGAAAATTAATCTGATGTTCTGCTCTGTTCCACAGCAAGTGGAGTCAGTGAGGAGTGGACAACAGTGTGTCAGTGTTTAACTCTACAGCAGGGCCATGGATGAAATAAAATGATATATTTATTATACCCCACACCAACAGAAATAATCTAAATGTCTTACACCCACACATACACAAAAGCAGGAAAAAAATACATTCCCATTGACAATGGAAACTAATATAATAATTTGACCAGGTGCTTAGGCTCTCACACGCTCCCTGTGGGCTGGCACAAGCTAATCACTGCTCAACCATGTGTATGAACATCTGTGGTTAGAGGGGTGATTCATTAACACGTCAATATGTGTCTGTATTATTGATAAAAGGGGTGGTCAAAATAAGTTTCATTCATGCAAAATTACGAATATGGTAAACAGGATTTGATGTCATGCACCAGGACCTCAACTTGTGAAAGACTTACAAGCTAAAATGTCTCATTAATGGGGAAGGAAATTACTTACTTTTCCTTTTTGTTTAAATCTACTTAATAATAATACTGACCAGTCTAAATTATATTAATATAATATGATATACAAGGAACACCATTTTATAGTTGATGAATGGTGTATGCTAGCCTTACTTACACGGATGTAGGGTTAATGTACATAAGCCAAGGTTGGGAAATAATGATGAATGTGAAAGGTTGGGATACAATGATGTATGACAGTCTAGACACCTTTAAAACAGTACTAAATGACTTCACATGTAAGTTGGGCGCTTGTCTGCAAAGATACAAAGCTCAGTCTCCCACAAAAGGGAACACTGCTCCAGATCTGCCGATATCAAATCAAGATATCACATCTACAAATGTCTACGTCACGATAAGAAATATTAGCATAATACACGACCAAAGGCAGACACAAAGACATGCCAGCCTTCAGTGAATTGTTGTGTTGTCGCCATATTGTGGTGACGCGGTGTCTCTGAGCGAAAGCAAAACCACTTTGTTTGGCCTTCCAAAAACAGATGAAATTAGGAATCAGTGGTTAAGATCTGTAAGTGAGTTAAAATATAAAAAAAATATGCTTGATGATCCACATTTCCAGAATTTGACTTGAGATCGTACTGATACAATAAATCCGACAACATACAGTATCTTTGTGTTTACTATTGCTTTGGAAACCTTGGGAACTGAAACTCATATTTAAACTCAGCCGTTACATTTCTGATACATGGTTGGGGTGTTTGGCCAATCAGAGCACTTTTCGGAAGTAGGGGCTTTGTAGAAACCAGAACTCTGACTTGGAATAATGTAATAATGCAATTGTGTACAGTATGTGAACATTGAAGCATGTTAAACTAAAAATAATTAACTTTTAAAATAGCATCATCTGACCCTTTTAAAATTTTAGTTTTGTTTAATAGAAAATCATAGGTTGGCAAAATTTATTTTAGTTTTCAAAAGTAATTAAGCATACACCTTTAGATTAAAAGAACCGAGATCAAGAGAAGCATACATGTTAGTTTTAGATACCAGTTCTAGTTTGCATATTCCTATGCCAGCATTTTAAAACCCTGTATACGTGTGTATGTATTTAAAGCATCTAGCTGTGGCACACACTCTTAGCATGGCGAGGGGGTCCGGATACAGGCCTGCCCAGAGACAGAACGTGCTGTGTAAGGAGCGCAACAGAAGGACTGCCCACCTCAATGCCCACACAAAAACACACAAACTCTGAAACACCCGAAATCTCCTGCCAAAACAATACGCCACCCTGCCATCAAGATATTAATAGACTGCAGGGTCACGTCAAATCATGGACTGTGAAAATTATCAGCATGCACCTTGGCCATTACAGGGCGTTCCTTAATACCCCGAGGCTTATGCACGGAAGGAAGAAAGGAAGGAAGAGGAGAGATGAAAGAATAGAAAGAAGTGAAGAATATGAAGGATGTCTGTATTTTTTTTGTTTTGTTTGTTTTTTACTGATTCAAGCCAACTGGAAGATTAGTCAGCACTTACATGTGGTGTGTGTGTGTGTGTGTAAAAGCGTGACTGGCAGTGGAGTTTAATATAAGTGTGAAAATCTGAGCCCATCTGTGAAGAATCCAGACCTCTTAAAGTGAAACAGAAATATGAGGAACTTTTTTACTCAATACAAGAGATGGTCAGCAAGAAACGATAAATGTGATCAGGAAGCATTTACATTACCGTTCATATTTTATCAGTTTTACGCATTCCCAGGGAATCAAACTCAATGTTAGCAATGCTAGTACCATGCTCTACTGTCCGAACTAAAGGAACATACACATCAAGATTTAAGAGTATTTGAACACTTAAAGGTCACTTTTAAAAAAAAACAACTTTTGCTGATAATTTACTCACCCCCATGTCATTCAAGATGTCCATGTCTTTCTTTCTTCAGTCGAAAAGAAATTAAGGTTTTTGATGAAAACATTATAGGATTTTTCTCCATATAACGCACTTTACTGGTAACCAAATGGTTCAAGGTCCAAAAGACAGTTTCAAGTGCAAACTGCGAACTGTTCAAAGGGCTTTAAACGATTCCAGACGATGGATAAGGGTCTTATCAAGCGAAATGACCACTCATTAAAAAACAAACAAACAACAACAAAAAAAAAGGTTTAAGTTTTATAAGCTCAAATGGTCGCCTTGCTCTGTTTTGTGATGCACGTTCGTGACTCTCCTGTTGGAACTCGTTCATCAAAATGAACAAATCTCTTTCCGTGTCATTTGGTTCATTCAACGAACGAAACAAACGAATTGGCGAAAAAGATTCGTTCATTTTGTTTAAACAGAGTACGATAATGTGTGTTACAGTATACACTAGCCCTGAGTGTCATGAGGTTTGTGCTGTACAAACAAATCAAATCTCAACCATGTACATTGTATCTGACAAGATGACATCAATCCAAAAGTGCTCCAAAAATAGGAATCATGGGACATTTTGTGTATTTTGTACTCATTCAAACACGGTGCTGTCTCTGTAGTCAATATCGCTCTATTTCTTTCTTTCTTCACATTATCATCAATGTATTCATTTTTGTGGATGTGAATGTTTCAGAATCCATTGCAGTACTGTATGGAGATGTATCAAACTTTGTAATTTTTACCCACCTACAGTTTTACTCCCACATTTCTCCCTTACAGTCAAATCAACTTAATTTGAACTATGCTTTAAAAAAACTAATACCATTTTGCATGCTGTATTTGCAAATTAAATTGCAAAAATTAAAGCAAATTTAACTAAATATTATCCGGTAATATTTACTTTGTATTAAGCTACTTTTTTTCTATCCATTACTATTATCATTTAAAATTCAGACTCTCTTCAAGCTATTTTTAAATGATTACGTTTACGCTGACATTTTCGACTATGATAGCACTCTGCTTTAAAATATTGACTTTTAAATTTCGATGGTTACAGAGCTAGAGCTACTATTTTACAGGAATTATGTTTATGATTCACATACAATAGTTTATGCTTTAGATGGCCCACATAAAAATAAAATAAAGTTTATTAGGAGGCAGAATGATGTTGCTGCCAATCTTTCGGAAGATACATGTCAATAAAATGATAAATGTTAAATAAAAAATGCTGTCTAGGTAGGCAGTTCCCTAGATGTTGAAACTATTGAGATATTGAGACAGTTTTTGATGGAAGTTACCTGCAGGACAATAGGCAGCTGCTCCGGTGGGTTTCTGTTCTCCACGCCCATTGTCAGCCACACCTGAAAGGCTGTCAGCTGCTCAGCGAAGAATGGACTATGCTGTGGATAAACAAACATACTCTATTGTGATACAGAAAAAAAAGAAAGCACATACATAAGTGAACAAGTGAAAGAGCACTTTGTTAAATCACCCATAACAAGTGTACATACGTGTTTTAGGATGGCTGTATTTATCCCAGTAGAGTTATACAAGTCTTACATAATACTTTCTTCTCCTACCCCATCACTCATTTACTCACCTTGCCCATCTCAAGTCTTTTCACTTTCTGTGTGAATGTGAGATAGGCAGACAGGGTGGCTTTTGATTTATTTATTTTTAGCTGTTTTTCCATTTACTAACATTTTACTGTGTTACATTTCTCAGGAACTACATTTTGCAATTCATTAAACTGTGTATTAAGAACATTCATGAGAATTGGTAATTGGATTAAATTACAGTTTAACATATAAATAAATCATAATAAACATATCTCCAGTATATCAAAAAGAGTATAACAGAAAAAAAATGTTTTAGTTTAGTGGATTATGCTGATTATATAGGAATATTCCAGCATGCAAATGCCTTTTTCATAATAATGATTTAACCAGAATACGGACCTTAACTGGAAAATGATGTGCATATTATATAGCTTGCTTAGCTATAAAGGGGGTTAAAGGGGATGTCTGTTTCACAACATCGTTGGATAGACTGTAAATTGTCAGTTCTACCACACACTTTCAAGATGAAATAACATGACATTAGCAACTCTCTAATTTACACAGATGCACAAACACACACACAAATACAAACATATAAAAAATATTGAATCCCAATAGTAAAAATAAAGACAAGGCTGAAAGTGTGTTATTTTTGTCAGCAATATGAGTGCCAGAAATAGCATCTGTTGCACTAAACACAAATTACATTAGGCTGAGAACTCAACCTTACTGCAACCATTATAAACAGACACTAACTCCCACATCTCTGAAAGTCACAAGAGTCAATCATTTGGAAAACACTTTAAAATGGAAATTAAGCTGCAACAGTAGAAGGTATATAGCTACAAAACAACAGGTTACTGCACCTAATATTCAGTAAAACTGAGTACAAAACAAGAATAGGTGGAAAAAGGTAAATAAAACCATCAGAGCCATTGCCTAACAATTAGCAAGTGTCCATGAGAGAAATTAAGGATTGAATGACATCCTAATTTCTGTCTTGGTCTGTTATAACAATACTATAATAATTTTACTTAGATAGACAAGATCTTAATGTGGGAGAGCCAAATAAACATTTAGCTGAATATCAGCTTCTTTTTATGTGGTTGAAGTTAACTTAATATTCCATTTCTGTACAGCATATTTTTTAAATATCTAGAAAAAAAATACAGACACTAAAAAGGCATGGTACTAATAGAAAACTGAACAGCATTCAGAAAGTGATGTAACCAGATTAAATTCAATGACTAACAATGGGGAATATACAATTCACTTTGAGTATGATTTGAGATTGTAAAACTCAACTTTATCATAAGTAGGACTAAAGTGCTAATACAAAGAAAAAGGAACAATAGATAAGAAACACTGAATTACTGATCAGGTAAATAGCCCTTTCTCTGTCTGATCTTCACTCAGAGCTAGTATAAGTCATGCTCACCCTGAAGGCTGTGCCCTCCTCAATGATGGTGGGAAGCTGGGAGAGGCAGATGTCCACCGCAAGGTCCCATGCTTGCCTGGAAACACACACACACACACACACACACACACAAAGATGCCACACTAGTCAATCCCACGATCACCTTTCTTGCTGTGAGAGTCTAGGCTCTGATCACATGAAAAGATGCACTGGCACATTTTTTTAACACACTCAAGGGAGAGAGGAGCCAGTAAATTTACCCATTTGAAATCTTTGGGAAAGATTATTTAACTGCTACACTTAAAGGGTTAGTTCACCCTCAGATGAAAATTCAATCCCCATTCTGTACACAACTGTAAAGTTTAAACACAAAAACTAAAAGTTAAATTGGTATAAACTTTTCCTGTTAATGAATAAGAAATTTGGTTCTCAAATTGTTTTGCAACAGGGCCCTAATTTTACATAGGGCAACCCAACACTGTACCAAAAATGTATTTAATATAACCTTGAGCCAGTGGCGTGCATTGTCGATTGGGTGGGTTTGTTTTGAGCTCCTTCTCCTTTAAAGGGTAACTAAACGCTAAACCAACTTTTTTTAGTTAAGGATCTGTAAGAATTGGGCTTTTTTAATGCTGATCATTGATTCAAGTAACTTTTTTGACATTTGGGTATAAAGTGTTTTATTTCTACAATATATAGTGGAAAAACGTCTTAGTTTTTCTGCTGCCCTCTTCAGGTTGAACGGTGGCTTCTGCAGTTGAATTTTCCTATTGGATGTTTATGGTTCTTCGTGACGTACGCAGGTTTCAGCTCACCACGCCCTTGGTACAAGCTCACGCCCTCGGCAGTTTAAAAATCATCTTGTTTCGCCAAAACCACTGCGAGTCAACAGTTGGAATTACGAGTTTTGAAAACGACCAGGATAGAGTATAGCATCTATTTAGCATAGCATTTATATAGTTATTTAGATTATTTTGTGTAGCCTAGTTATTTAGTAGCATAGTACAGTTAGGATAGCTTCAAGTTAGCATAGATTTATCTGTGTACAGTAGTACAGTGGTCAGTAGAGATGGGTACCAAAACCCGGTATTAAACGGGCCCCGGTACTGAATTTTGAAAGACCGCTGTATCGATAAGCTCGGACGTTATCGGTTCTGCTGTCGGTACTGGAGAAATTAAGTAAATACACGTAAGTTGGGCTACTATTTATTATTCCTATAAAGACGTTATCTTGAACATGTTTATATCGCCAGCTATTTCTATATATAAACTATATTTTAATTAAACCATTTGTCTGTGAGGCAAATTCGCAATTCGCAGTTCAGAATCAGAAGAGAGAGAGAGAAGAGAGAGAGAGCGATCTCTCACGCAAATCCACAGCACGCGCAACACGACAGCCCTTGGCCCCTTGCTTAATGAGTGACAATGAGGACAGAACTAAACATTCAACGTGGTTACAAAGATTATAAAATCTTCCAAATATTATAAAAAGATGATATTTGAGATATAACCGTTAAAAAACGAGACGATCTGTCCAGCTTAACTTCCTTTAACGTTACTTCACAGCACTGCGGAGCGGTGTCGGTTCTTCCTAAAACCCAAACGTAACCGTCAGAATCAGCACGATCGGCGATTGTTGAAAAATGCTGTCTTCTACTGTTGCAAGATTAAAAAAATGGCTATTAAAAACACAAAAACCTGCGCAAGAGACGCTGTTCACAAGGCGGTGCACGCTCTGAAACGGACTGCAACGAGACAAGAAAAGTAGCCTATACTTGGGCTTTGTGCATCCTTAACTATCAAATATACATAAAAATGTCGAAATGACCAGCTCTGAGATTCACTTAAACACAGTTTATTCACTTAAACACAATTATGTATTAAATGGACGTAAATAATAGGGAGAAAATGATGGTGCATCAGTCCCCATTAGATCTGCACTTGGCCTTAAAGGGGCAGCAGTCTAATAGCCTAAACCTGCTAACGATTCAGCCATTAATGCAAATCAAACAACAAAAGGCAGAGAAAATCACTCACAGCTTTTGAATGAGTAACTTTAGATTTAATAAGCATTATTCTATCTATGATAAACTATACAGTGCTATTTTATATTTGATTACTAGATTTCTTTTCAGACAGAAACAATTACCTGAAAAGATATTTTAGTAGACCTTCTTGAAATTAAAGCACTTTGTATATTATCTGTATCTTTGATTAATTGTATTATTGTGTTTGTACTTGTTTTTTTCTTTCTTTTGTGTCCTTTTTGTATAAACAAAAAAAGCCTGCTCACTGCTGCATAACAAAAAGATATTTTTCTTCGTTTTGCTTTTTCTATTTTACATTTCAAAATATAAAGTTTAATTATGTTCTTAATTCTTACAAAAAATAAATAAATAAAAATAATAAAAAAACACCAAAAAGAACCGATAAGAATACCGTTAAAGAACCGGATCGATAAGCGGTATCAGAAAGAGTAGTAATACCGATAAAACCTTAACGATAGCCATCCCTAGTGGTCAGGATGGTAATGGAATAGAGGTGGACGTGAGCTTCTCCACACAGCTCACGCAAATATAATTTAAATATTTATTTATTTTGAGAATTTTTATTAAATATCGAGAAACATATTAACATATGAAACTACTAATTACTTTATATGTCATTGAAATATTACTTTAATTAAAACAATGATATAAGGCCTTGAAGCAGTTAAGTATAGTCCATAATAAAGAACATACATTGATTCTGAGTTTTTATCTTATAAGTATCGTGGTTTGATTAATATTAATGACACAATAGACAGTATCTGGTCCATTAGGCTACATTTAATCTGTAAATCATAAAACACCAGTAACATTTTGAAACAAAACAGATTCTTAAAAAAAATACTGAGAAAGCATGACACTTTTGACTTAACATGATGCCAAGAGTCGGTCTTCTACAACATATAAGAATACCTAATATTGTGTAAATATTGTGGAAACAACTTGACATTTTTGTCTGTGCTCATATCCATCACAACATCTTAACGTGGTGCTGAACTAATGAGTTGTATGACTAAAGGCAATATTGTATTTGACTCATTCATGCATATTATTTTACTGATATAAACAAAGAGTGAACGTCAACATCATTGTGCATATTATAATCTCTACATTATTGTAAATACATAGCACCTGAAATCTGATCTGAACATTCAGACTCAAAAGAATTTCCAAAAATCCAATGCAAACTGGATAAACAATCAAATATTGATTTCTTGTCCTTATATTGCTCAGACTATGAACAACTAAATATATAAGTCAGATACAACTGTCTGAACAAAGGTTGTACATGTTAGGGAAAATAATGATGTATGATCCATACACTTACCACATAGCGTGCATGTATGTAGGTGGCAACCTGGGGCTGCTGACTGGTGTACAGTTATATGACCTCATAATTCTCTCAGCCAATAGGAAATTACGAAATAGACTGGCCACCAAAAGATCCTGACGAAATAATTTCTGAAAGAGATCTATAAAGAAAGGAGAGAACTATTTTAATGCTTAATTAAAAGTTAAATGCTTTGTTTTATGTAATGACAAGTAACTTGATTAAAATCCTAAATTATGTTGTGTGAAATGCTGTCTTAATGAGATCCAATGATTATTATGTGTGTGCATGGCAGATTAAAGCCTGGGGATTTTCATAATAAAACTGACGCAAAAAAATAAATAAATAAATAAAAAAAAATAAAGACTGAGAGGTTAGGATATACCCAATCATGCTTGGTTTCTCCTCCTCAGGAAAGAGACATAAGCAAATCTTCAAAGCTTGTGTTCTGTGCTGCTACTAGTGTTTGAGAATTTACATACATATCTTGTCCTTTAATAAAGAATACTGTACATACTACCAGCAAAGCATTTACAGGTTTGGTCCTGTAATCTGACTGGCCAAGCAAGCACTGTTAAAAGTGATGACATTTAGTATTACAGCACCAGGATGCTTTAACATGTATCTCACTTCTATTGTCTGTGTTTACTGCTGGCAGTCTGTAAGTAGCTCTGGGACATGCAACGGCTGAACCTAATTTGGCTTTTGGAACTATTTTGTATTAAGAAGCAAATATAAATTTAGAAAATGAACTTGGCAAATTGTTTCTAGACTAGGACTGAGCAATACATGGAAGATTATGGAGGAAAATCAATGCCAATAATAACCGAGCGCACAACTGATGCTGGTGCGCGCGGTAACTTCCGTGACAGAATAACAGATCTACACCTTTTCCAAGTCAGTTGTGATTGTACGCCTGTCCAATGACCCGTAATTCGCTTGACTTGAGACATCAGTTAATTTGTTTTATTTACTCTGGTTTATTAATGTGTAATGTGATTTAATGGATTGTTAATATAGAATAGATTCTTCCCAGATACTTTATTAACAGGAAGTCTACCTGGTGATTGCATTGTGTTGTTAAGAGATATCTACAGACTGTAATGACACATTTCCATGGTTATTAGCATTGCAAATGTACCCACATTTTTATACATTTTTACGTAATATAAGTGGTTCATACACTCTATTAAATGTAAATGGGGTTCTGGCATCTCAAGTTAAGATACAGTACACAGAATTATAGCTTACAAATGCCTTTTCAGAATTTGCTACAGAATACAGAGGAACAAAATTAAACCCAGCAAATTATTAAAGGGGTCATGAACTGGCTTTTTAAATTTTATTATATTGTTGTCTGAGGTCAACTTATGACGTTCGCTTGTTTTTTTTTTTTCATTCAAAAACATAAAAATGAATAAGTAATAGGCTATTTTCTAGAGTCAAAAATGCTTGGTTTTTATGGGTGTCTCGCACTGAAGAGTTGGAAGTAAACGCCCACTGCTGTGAGTGGATAACAGTTTTGCATATTATAATGAGTTTTAACTCACTCGTCGATGCACTTGGGGGAAATTGTTTTGAAAACGTCCAATGTTGTAAAATGGCAACCGGAATGATTCACCCAAACATGTTCGACCCAGAGTCCTTGTGTTGTACCATTCCTGTCAGATTCAATATAGACGTCACAGCACCGTTATTTAATCTTAAGTGTTATGCAAATCCAGTCTTGTCTACAAAACAATCCTCAGTGAAATGAAGCTAATAGATGGACAATGTTTTACCCTCATCAGCTGGAACGTCATTAAAAATAAAGTTTAACATGGATTCCTATTGGAATCCAGAAGAAGCATATGCAGCGACTGTCTTCTTCCACAACCAGGGGCTGCACAATTTTGTATTGCTTGGTAGCTGGATCCAGTTTGTCATCACGAGGTAGGCCTATGTTATTTAGCTATGCGTGTAATGCACGAATCGGTGGGCGGGGCTAAACCGGCCGTGTTGAAATAGGCGTTGATCTTCTTCTGCAGGGGTGGTGTTTTATCCTCTTTGACGTCATAGTTCCCCACTTTGAAAAACGAGTCGTTTGCTGAGCCTGGTGTCAATAAAAGCTTTTATTAGACTAACAAGGACGTTTTCAGTTCTGAAACTTACAGGATATTCTTATAATATGATGACCTCTTAGATGTCAAAAGCTCAAGGAAAATTTGTTTTCTCAGTTCATCACCCCTTTAAACCCAGCTTAAACCCAGCAAATTAGATATTAAAATATTATATAGTGATCTTAATCATCTAACTTTTTGTAAGCTTATAATCTAATAAGAGAAAAGTGAGAGAACATGAGATAAAGTGAGAAAACTAAATTCTAAATTAGAATATTGTAAAAACATCTAAAATAAGCATCAGTTGTGCGCTCGGTTATTATTGGCATTGATTTGCCGCCATAGAAGATACAGTAAGTGACATTATCACATCTTCTTTGATGACAATATGCAATTAAGAATATTGTGAATTTCGCAATTGTGTAACGTTCAAAGTTCATCTTATAAGACAGTATGCAAATTTCAGGACTTTCAAGCACTACTTTTTTTAAGGACTACAATAAGAGATTTCATTTATCAAACAATATCTTTCTTTACTATCTTTTAAATTCTAAAAAAAGCAAATGTATAAATAAAAATAAACTAATAAAACAAAACGGTAAAGTGCAGTACATGCAATGACTGTGGTAACTTCAACCATTGAATGACAAAGATATCTCTTTCCTTATTCAAACTGATTTATTTCTCTCATTAATATATGACTGACTTCAAGAATAAAAGCTGTATCATATACTTGGATATTTATATGAGCAATATAACACTCATTGCCATGCAAAATGCCTCGATATCTATATCAGAAGGACTGCAGCGTTAATTTAGTGTGAAAAGATTGTTTTATCAATAAAATTAAAAATAAAATTTCCCATATATTGTCTTTCAACAATTCAAGCACTTTTCAAGTACTTCATTATACAAAATGGCTGTTTTCAAAGGTTTTCCAGAACCTAAATTTCAAAAAGTAAAATTCAATTAATTAAACTACTTCAAGCACAGTCTACAAATCAACATACATATCCTGTTGATTATAATTTGCAAGAATGCTGAGCTCAGTCAGTGAGATAGTGCTAAAATGATTTTAGATACATTTAAGTAAATGATTTCAAAGATTAATTTTGTGTTAGTTTAATAAAACTTGCAAGCAGTCATTGTCTAGATTTTTTTTTTTAACTAGTGGTGATTTTGCAGTAAACATCATATGTAATTTGTAACAACATCTGTTCTATATAGAGCATGTCTTTTTCATGGGGTTAAAAAAAATACAGAAATACAGAAAAATATCAAGATCACCAAGCCTTAATCTAAAATTATTTTTTTTTTTTTATCTCTGTTATATCTGTTATCTTAACTGTTAAAATCAGTATCATACTTTGCAAATGTTCTGTTGTTCTGAATATCAGCATGTATTAATCTGTGATTTCCTCATGTGATATTGCAGTAATGGATTTTAGTAGAGGGCAGCAATCTACAGTATATATGTTTTTGCACTCAATCTTTTGAAGATTTTTTTATTATAATCTTTTAAATGTTGTGGGTTTTGTAGCAAAAAGGATATTAGTGGGATAGTGGGATTGAAAAATGACTTAAAATCCAAACTCAGTCCATGTTTCAACCAGATTCATCCGCATACTGTAAATGCCACCACACTATGTGCATATTTACGTCACGCCACCATGTTAAGTGCATATGCAACATATCTGCCATTTTTTGTTATTTTGTGGAACAAGCAAAGTAAATAGGCAAATCTGGGTTCTGACTGAGCAAGTCAGGTTGACTGATCAAAATGAATTTGTACCCATTGTGGAAGAACCTGAAAGGTCTGTGCTGTTGATTGACATGAAACTAAATCTTCAGAGATTGTTGAATAGCTGGATTTGTATCAGAACAAACCTCTCGGCAGGACGTTCCATGCAATAGTGTCAGTAATAGCTGTGAAAATCCAGTTCAGCTCTCCTAATGGTGTCCTTCTGTCATTCAGTCTGCCGGGGATCCTGAGAGAAATTAATAAGCACATACATGAAACCCAAAAAATCATATCAGCATTTCAAAATAAACTGAGATGTGATTGGATGTGAAGTGCTATAAGTTTCAAACTTGTTGGTTCTCAATAGAAAGGAAGTATAAATATAACAGCACAGTAAACTTGCTTGTTTTTGAACTGAACCGAACAAACACGGAACTGACTTGAGCTGAATAAGGACACCCTTGTCTTATGTAGAGCTGCTTTATAGTTGAATTAAGTACATTTTCATAATTGATGAACTTTGTAAAATGACACTTAAAGCAGATTTACAGCAGAAATTACATTTGTTTCATAATTACTTCACACAACTTCATGAATGAACTCCGTGACATTAATCTAAATTTTTCTCTACACCAAATCGCTCAACTCTGTCAACACAACTCGCTACGCACAGTGCGCAGTCTTTGCTCTGTATCTTCATCCAGATGGCGTGAAGAACACGACCACGGCATAGGCAAACCCGACATTGCAATGTTTATCACAGTGCAAAATAATACCCAGTAGGGCTGAACGATTAATTGCATTTGCGATAATATCGCGATATGATGAAACGCGATTTTGTAACCGCAAAAGCTGCGATTACACTGGTTACGTGACTCGCGGGAGAAAAGCAGTCTGCAAGATCAAGCATCAACTTGCCATGTACACACCACTCGAACCTTACGAAACATAAGAGGTGCAGCCTCTCCCGTGGGAATTTTCCTTACAAATGCTCCACGAAGGCGTTATTTATGTATTTTGGAATGCAGTTGGCTTATATATTAAAAATATGAAAATCGCTGAGGCTGCTTTCATTTTAAAATATTTGTGCGCGGTCTCAGTATTTTAAATACTGAGACCACTCTTTGTTTATTGCTTGTAATGCTTTTTTTGTTTCTCTTTATTTACTAGCTTTTATATTTTGAAGCTATATTAGTTTATACATAGTTCCCACAGGCAAATTAATGTCACGTGACCTCCCCGGAGACACCATCTTTGAGGTCATAAGCTGCTGTGTTTACCATAGGTGTTTACAAAGTTTTATCAGGGAACGTTGTTTTACAAAACAAATATTTATTTCTGTTTATATTGTTATGCAAATCATGAAGAAATAGATTATAAAGAGACTATTTAAACAAGACAGAGAGATGTACAATGCGAAAATTTCATTCATAAATCGCGTGGATCCGTATGCAGTAGGACGCACTGAGCAATTATTATACAGCTTTGTCTCAGATACAGTATTTTCATGTGTAACTTTATCTGGTATTGGCTAGGAGTTTTTACACATGTGAGCAATTCCGAGCCAGGAAATAACAAATTTCCTTTCGAGTACAAAGTATACTACTACTACTAAATCACTGGGGGCGAACAATCAGATTGCCAAGGGTTTGTTTGGTGACGTTTTCTCAAGTGCAATCAATGGAAAAGTAACTTAGTCATCATAGTGAAGTAGCATGATGCTAGACTATCTGTCTATTAAAGGAGCATTTCACCCATTTCAACATTAATCTTAATTGAAAGTGGATCATATATGTAGTCGAAATGTCAAGAGGCGCATTTGTATGTAAGACAACCCACATTACACCACATTGCACAGCTCCGCAAGCCACACCCACTAATCCAGAACAGCGCAAACAGAGAAATCACTCTTCCGTCTAAAAGACTAACGTTAGCTGATACCAGAGTTTGAAATTCATTTCACACAAAATGTCTTATTAGTTGGCTGTGGCGAGCAGGACGATCGAGGGCAAAGGACGTAAGAGAACGGCGCGAGGCCGGTGGCGTGAGTGATAATGAAAGACACCTGTGAGGCGCATGCAGGTCTCGCGTCTCTCAAGGAGGAGCGAAAGCATAAAATGAGGAGTAACAACAGCAGATCGAGAGAGAAACAGGCCTGATTTTATGATGTGTTTTGTTTCTGTTGTTGTGTGATGTTACAGCAGACGTCAATGAGGGGCTGCTGGCTTATACTTAGGGCCCAAGCCCTGAAAGAGCGAAGGCCCTATTGTTTTCCTTGGGATTATTTATTCTTATTATTATTTTGCTACCTTTTGGGCACTTTTGGGGCCCTTAACGTGCTCGAAAACTCCTGAAACTTTGCACACGGGTCAGAACCCGCGGCCATCAGAGCCGGGCTGAAGCTGGTACCCGGGCGTGGCAGGGGGGGCTCGTCAGCGCCCCCTGGAACGGGGTCCGAACACTTGGTCCATAACTCAAACACACTTGCATGTAATAATATGAAACTCGGTACACATGTTGATCTCATCGTTTCATCTATACCTCACGCTCTTACTTTTTATCCCAGCCCAACAGGAAGTCGGCTATTGAAGGTTGTTTGTAAAACGAACGCAATGGAATGTGAAATACTCCTCCTAGAGCTTTGATCCAAATTCGACGAAACTCGGTCAGCGTGAAGTCAAGACATTGAGGATGAAAGCTTGTGTGGGGATTTTTGATATCTTGAATGGTTTGGCCGTGGCGAGGAAACAAAATTATGGCGAGAAACGTGAAATAGGAAGTGTGTTATAACTTCAGCATAAATTAACAGATCTTAATGAAACTTCAGCAGTTTGTTCGCTGTAAGAGTACTATCACATGGATGTGACTATTGTGAGTCAAAGTTATAGCGCCACCAACTGGCAGCAGAAAGTGTGTCACTTTCAAAATGCTTTGAAATCACCCTCTTATTTTTACCCAATTTGCTTCAACCTTCATCTGTATAATGTAAATACACGGCAGATGAAGACCTGTGAATGGATTCTTGATCTCTTTGAAACTGTTGCCATGGCAACGCTTCAAACTTTGAAATTATTTTAGCATGCTTGAAATTGCATGAAACTCAACAGACACGTCACATTTATTAGCCAGTAGACATGTGCAAAGTTTCAGAAACGGGCATGGTGCAAGGACTAAATAGCGCCACCTTTTGACAAAAGTGGGGTTGTTAGTTTTATCTACAGTTACAAAAATCGGTATATACATTGTACTCCTCAAGCCGGACAACTTTCTAATACATAGTCATTAGCTCGGACCAAGAGGTAGTCAGATATTTTGGTTTGAATATGGTGAGCCTCTCTCTGAGCCTACGTCCCTGTATGGCAAGCCCTTTTAACATTTAAAAGTTAAGTTTGCCTATGATAATCAGAATTAACATTGTAGATATCAACAACGTCTTTCTGTCTAGTCGTAATTACATTTGAGATAGTTTATATTATCATTTAAGATATCTGTAACATAATTGTGACTAGTAACGAAATGACAGAGTATGGCAAGCCGTGTTAACATTTAATCATGAAAGGGCCAAAGCCTTCGACACCGCCACCCGGGTGCCTTTAGGTAACTAAAGGAACCGGGGTTGCGGTGCCACCGGCTTGGGCCCGCCATCGCTGCTCGCAGCTATATTTTCGTTTTGTATTTGAAGAGTTCAGATACAAAAGCCTCTAAATGCCATTTGAAATTTTCTTCTTTAATGATGATTTTTATCAAACTTGTATATTTAAGTTCAGTAATTTCACTTAAATAACAATTAATAGGTAATTATCATTGCCATTTAAGTGAAATTACTGAACTTAAACATACAAGTTTGGTAAAAATCATCATTAAAGAGGAAAATTTCAAATGGCATTTAGAGGCTTTTGCATCTGAACTCTTCATTTGTTCATTTTACTATTAAAATGTTTAAATGTTCGCCAGTTCCCTCCTCCTCCTTCCCACAACAACAAACCCTGTTAACGTTACATTGGCAAACTCATTAGTGAACTACTCCTCGTTTGTAGTTATTTCTATATGGTGAATTAATGCATGATACCTGGATGTTCAGTCAGGCGAAACAAGGATGGTTCACGTCACAACAGAAACGTTCATGTGTTCGTCCAGGAGAAATTGCCATTGTTGAAATTCTCTGCAGCAGACGGACTCTATCTGTGTTCATAGTTCACAGCGAGAGCACATGCACCAGCAGTCCGCCCAGTTCGAGCCAGTCCGGGCTCCTCGACCAAGAGCACATGCACCAGCAGTCCGCTCAGCCATCACAGAACTGTTGCAGCAACAACTGTGCTTTTCAAAATGCACACTGAAAACTGTCCAGAGGATCTCAAAGCTCTGCAACCCCCACCAGATCTTGCCTGCCGAACTACTCGAAGAGCACGAGCAAGTCACGCACTAAAATTCCCCAAGTCTAACACCAAATGCTTGGGAAGGAGCTTTCTTCATTCAGCTGTAACAACTTGAAACTGCCTCCCCTCTACTGTAGTAGGTGAAATCACCTCAAAGAATATTCAGGCCTTCAAGACGAGACAAAAACAAACATCTCCTTAGCAAAAAAAAACTGTAATATCTTGATGCTTAATGTCACTTATCCCATATTCTTGGTACTGAGTAGCTGCAGATCACGATAGGCTCTCAGGCCACGAACTGATAAAGCCTTTATCTGCTAAAGCACAAAAAAAAAAAAAAAATCTTGAGCTGCTGCGTTCAGAATATCAGACAAATTCCACAAAGGACTGTAATTGGTATTATTGTTAACTAGATATCATGATAACTAGATATCATTGTTTAAGAATAGCAGCAACTCAGCCCTGAAGTGGAAAACCATACAAAGTCACAGAGTGGCATCACCGATGCGAATGCTGCATAAAAGTCGCCAATGTTCGGCTGATTTATAGATTACGATTATATAACTTCCATTGGCATTAATATCAGCACAAAAACTCTCCGGCAGGAGCATCATGGAATGGGTTTTCATGGCGGAGCAGCTGCATGCAAGCCTCACTTCATCACATTTTTGTACAATGCCAAGTGTCAGATGGAGTAGTTTATCTCTTTTTTTTTTTTTTTTTTTTTTTTTTTTTTTTTTTTTTTTTTTTATTTAACAGTCAGACATACATACAAACAAACCAACATAGTGCAGTAGTGAGCAATCTTGTAAATCCATAATTCCAGCAGTGGCAAGAGTGATTAAGTGTTTGATCTAAGTGTGTAAGTGAG